ATTAAATCATATATATAAATAGTTTTTGTACGAAATTTTATTAATAAATCAAACTGTTGTAGGTTATTTTCTGAGCCTAGGAAAGGATTTACATACTAACGAACCTTTGTCCTAAATACGGGGTACTCTCAAGTCAAATCTTAGCACAACATAAATCTATACAACATAGAAAATTAAAGATTTTCTTGCAACACAAAAAAAGAGATCTGTGTATTTGCAGACGATTTGACAAATACCAAAAGGTGTAAATAATCAAAATTAGACAAATTAATTTAGGATTTAAAATTCTTTAGCACCACTCACAATAAATGAGCAGTATATTGTCGGTAGTAAAAAAGAGAATACGAATAAAAAAGAGCATTAACTTCAATAAATCTTTATCAAGTCCCCTCTAGCACATACCTCTGCACCGATTTTTCGCAATTGTTCGCGCAGCTTTCGTATATTCGCTTCGGAAAGTTTATAGCTCGGATCGTTGGTATCACCTTTCAGACGTTCCAAATTCAGTTTCTCCTGTTCCAGCATCTTTTGTAGCGTTTGTATTTTATACGTTTCCATTTCACGACGTTTGATGCTCTACAAAGGAAGACACAATTTAATTAAATGTCTTTGTTGTAGAAAAGTAAAAATATATATGTATATATATTTTATTTCATCTTTTAGTTTACATCAACCGGTTGTGGGCCCGTTATGGATGCAGTCCGATCACGTCCCGATAGTATGGGTGTAGAGGGTACTATGCCGACAGATGAGGGGCGTGCCAACTTTTGACTACGTTTCACCGCCAATTCAACAATGGTGGAGGCTGGAAAAGAAAGAAAGTACGTTAATAAGATGCTCCAAATTAAAATTTAATCAAGTTGTAATATAAATTTTATAAAATTATAATTTTTAACAAAATAGAACATAGCGCAGTAGGTTCGCAGCTTAAACAAGTGAAGTCATAAAAAGAAATCCTCACAGCGAATTCGGTTTCAAGACCGGGGGGCTGGTTCCTGCAGAGTTGAGTATAGAAGGCTGGTAACAGACGTACACAGAACATCAAAAATGCGGCAAAAAAGCCACAAAACCTTCGAAGACGACGATATAATGACTGAACTTTACAAAACCGGCGGAAAGCTAGTCTGATGAATACATGCCCGTAGGATGCACACCACTGCATTTCTGTGTTCCAGCAGAATCAGTCATCACTATATTTGGAGGGTTGTCATCAAATTCAACTTAACTCAACAGTTAACTCAATTATGTATCCCAAAGTCTGACTAAAGAGATCTAAAATTTTAGTTAAGAAAAAATCTGAAAAGGGTTGCCACTTGTTTGAAAGGTTAACTTAAGTTAATTTAAAATCAGGTATATATATGATATATTTAACTATGAGTGGCAAACGAAAGTTTTGTAAAAACTCTAGTTTGAAAATATTTTTGATATATATTTCTAGCTAAATATGTAGATAGTATGTATACTAGGGTGGTCCAAAAATGCATGTGAAAAAGTAAAGTAGAATTTTCTATGCTCTCACCCCCTAGGATTGTTCTATACCGAAAAAAGTATACCCCCATTTCTTACTTAATTGTTTATTTAACCATTTTTTCATCGCAACTGTAATTTATAGGTCCGCAAAAAAACCACAAAAACCCCGAAAAATGCAATGGGAGCACCAATAAAAAATCTTTAGTAAAAAAAAATGGTTAAATAAACATTTGGGTATTATTACTGAAAGTCTCCTGAAGAGAACCAGAGTTTTCCGATCGAAAAATTTTGATTTTCAAGAATTCTATACCATTTCTACGAAAAGTTGTTTTTTTCTCATATAAAAATACATGGAAAACTTTCAGCGCTTTGAGCGACCTCTAAATATCTTTTGATTTCAAAATAAAAAAATTAGGGCATACTTTTTCGATATAGAACAATCCCTGGGGGTGAGAGCATTACATTTCCGACTTTACTGGTTTTAGACCACCCTAATGTATACATATAAATAACGCGGGGCCGTTTTTATGGAGATCATCATATCTCCATCGTTCTTTTGAAATTCAAAAATGAGATGTTAAATTAAAAAGCTTGGCCTATAGCTGTGAAGTAGGGTTTTATTTTTTGAAGTTAGGACTATTTTACATATTTGTACAGAGTGATTCAAAATGAGAGAAGCCGAGCCATATGGGACCTCTCTCCATGGAATTTACAGGGCGGTTTAGAGGAAATTCGGCATACTTCGGATAGCTTATAACTGTGACATTTGGATTTTGTTTGTTTGTTTTTGAAGACGTTTCCACCTCTTTAAAATGTTAAATTTATTTTTTAGCGTTTTAACGCCAAGCAGGCTAACTAGTAATATAGTAATGCGGGTAATAGAGAAATAAGAAGTTTCACTTCAGTCGCGCGTAGGATTCACACACAACTTTTTTTAGTACTGCGATCACCAAGATCCCTCTTCATTAGGTGGATTCACGCTAAGTGCGTCAAGGAATAATTTAACAATCTTCATCTTTTAGCAGCGAGAAATAAAGTAGCGCTGTCCTGGCCACCAGGTCATTGTGGTATCGAAGGGATGAGGGAGAAGACTCATCATCCGTTCTCGTAGACCGGAATTATTTTATGCATTTAGTTGTTTTTCTTCAAGACAAGGCGTGGGCAAGCTTAGAAGGCAGTAAGTACTGGGAAACAGTAGTTAAGCTCTCTGGATATCCTTTCGTCAGAAAAGGACTTAATTTTCTAAAAAAAAGCTAACATCAGGTTGCGCGTATCGAACAAACCATAACTGCCGGGTCTCCCCACACAGAAGGAAAGCCGGCTATTACAAAGCTAATACACTTCAACTTGTCTAAAATCGATCCTTTAAGAATGAGAAAATGGTACACTATCAGGATACTTTTACCATTCATTAGAAAAGCTGACAGTATTTTGTCCTTCATCGGGATACCAAATATCTTCTTGGTCTGAGAGTGCCTTATTGTGCCTCAACAAAATTTATATCTAACTTTCAAATAAATGAACCCAGAAGAACCTCCAAATTCATTTAGGATAAATTAACGAAGCGCATTCTCCCCTTGTGTTGCACTACAATGACTCTAAAATTAATTGTGTGAACTAATTAGAAATATTTCAGAGCTCATCATTCAAGTCGTTCAAGTGCCTTGTCGGCACACTTGGGAGAGTAGATAATTATGTCCGTATGTGTGTTTATATGTACGAGTTAATATATGAATTCAAGCAGCCATTGGAGTATCTATGAGCATAGGCGTTTTATCTTTCCATTGGCGTTACAAATTTCTTGATAAAACAATTTACAATTAAATTTTTTTTAATGCTTGACAAATACTTGTATATCTGTGTTCGTATGGAAAAGTAGCGTATGTCGAAAAGCTGACTTGAGTATAATGCGGCATTCCCTTTACTCTATACACGACAAGGACTTTTTTGAGACTTAATAAGCTTCACTTGCTAGTATCGAAACTACTTCTTGCACGTTTATTTGCTAAAAGTTCTTCAACGGTTCGGCGCCCGTGAGTCATTCGCAATCGTATGCTGCGAATGCTGCATTACACCAAAGCCAGCCTTTCGACATAAGCTAATATTCCATACGAACACAGATATATATGATAGAGCTCTGGATATAAGCATGTACATTAGAGTGGTCCAGTATTTGATATTTGTAATGTCTACACCAACTTTCAATTTTTTACAGCAACCAATACAGGGTACTCAATGACCTTGAAATGCGCTACTGGATCGCTGTGAAACTGGAAAAAATTTTGGTGATTTTTATGAAAAGCTACTGTTGCCATGACAACTGGAGCTTGCGATATTTTTTATGGCGTTTTCTTTTCCCGAAATAATGTTCCCCTTCGGCAGGGCTATCTAGTTTTCGTGTTGTTTTCTCAGCATCTTCACATGCAAATCGCGTGCTCTTTCCTTAAAATGTTGCACCCTGATAATGTTGCCATATAAGGTGACATTTTTTTCGAGAAAAGAAAAATAAGATAATTTAAATTTGGTACCAGCGCCTCTTTCGGCAAGAGGAAAAATTTTGGAAGGTGCCCCAAACCAACAATAACACCCTAAACATTAAAAGAAAACAAGATTAAAAAAGTCAACAAATTTATAAAAAATAAAAATAAATAAAACAAGTTTCTAAAAATTTAAAAATATATTTTTCTCTTTAAAACAATAAAATCTAAAAAATAGAGAAAATTTAACTAAACAAGGAAAATATTTAATTCAAAAAAGAAAAAAAAATAAGTTCCCAAACATTAAATAAACTTACAAAAAATATCTGTAAAACAATAATATCTAAACATTAAAAGAAAATTGGATTAGGAAAGAGA